TTTTATTCAATTAATCTAAGTTTTTACATAAAATTGACTGAAATAGTCACTATGTGGATTTTTTTATTTCAAATTAACTATGACTAATTATGAAATATTTAAAGAGTTTAATGTTAACTAAAACATAGTTTCAGTGTATAATTGAAGACTTTATGTTGACACTTTGAATATAACAAAAAAATTTATATCAGAAGGGGTTTTGTGAATATTATAGTTATTTCAATAGTTGAGATCATGAGACATTTGAAGCTAGACTACCATGGAAAACCTGGAAGCACTGAACGGCCGTTTCATCCTATTGTAGGACTCCTCAGCAGTGCACATCCACGATCCCACCTCGCGAAATTCAAACCCAGCACCTATCAGTCTCGTGCGTGAGTGCTTAACCACTAAACCACTGAGCCGGCATCCAATGATGTTCATGTCTCACTTCAACTACTTCACGAAATTGAGCGATACATCCACCATTGTCATTAGTGAGTTACTATCTCACAACAGACCCTGTTGAAGTGCACTGGTCACTGCTTCTCACTAGAAATCCAGGAACTACCTCTTGAAGCCAGTCACTAGTGAGCACATGTCCACTGCTTCCAGGTTTTTCATGGTGGTCTAGCTTCAACTGACTTATAATCTCAACCATTGAAATAAATTTATCACAATCTATTCAGATAGTTAATTTAAAATAAGTTGTAATAAAAGACAATAACCATATATCAGAAGGGGTTTGTGGAGATTTTTAGAAATTTTCACAGATTGAAATCATGAGTCAGTTGAAGCTAGACCACCATTGAAAACCTGGAAGCACTGGACGGCCGTTTCGTCCTAGTATGGGACTCCTCAGCAGTGCGTATACACGATCCCGCACCACGCGGGGCTCGAACCCAGGACCTACTGGCTTCGCGCGCGAGCACTTAACCATTAGACCACTGAGCCGGCATCCAACGGTGGTGGGGCAACTTCGTGGATTGGTTGAAGTTAGACATTAACACCGTTGGATGCCGGCTCAGTGGTCTAATGGTTAAGTGCTCGCGCGCGAAGCCAGTAGGTCCTGGGTTCGAGCCCCGCGTGGTGCGGGATCGTGGATGCTCACTGCTGAGGAGTCCCATACTAGGACGAAACGGCCGTACAGTGCTTCCAGGTTTTCAATGGTGGTCTAGCTTCAACTGACTCATGATTTCAATCTGTGAAAATAACCAAATATGTTTTATACATTTTCATTTATTATAATACAATCGATGACAATTGATACAAACTTCAAATAACATTAAAGTAGTTCACTTAAACAAGAAAATGAATATTGTAATAAATGCCAAAAACGTAATCATTATATGTTGAAATATAATTATTATTTTGAGTAGAATGACGTTAATCAAATATAACTTGTTGCTATGACGAAAATTGGTATGGAATATATCCAACGAATTTATTATCTTATTTTAATATTTAGAAAAATTAAAACAATAGAATTCAAATTCAGACTACATATTCAGAAAGAAAAATAAAATGAATGAAAGAAATATGAATAACAGACAGTTATCTCTATGCATCTTAATGTTTCTCTAAGAAGTAAAATTGTTACTTCGGTATAGTCTTTAAACAGATCTTTTTTCTTCTTGGCTATTCTTTCAAAATAGTTTATATGGCTTTGTTTATATTAGATTAGTAAAAATGTAAAGAAATGTAAGTCTTAACAAGTAGGTTATACTTTCCTACATACACTTTTATTTGATCAACTCATCTTTCATATCCTATTGATTTTAAAAAAAGTGTAATAAATTTTAATATTCCTCTTTTTGAATGCAAAATCGTCTTGCTTGAACTGGATTAATCTCTTAATGAGACTTTTTCTTCAGTGATATACTTACACATAGTAATGAATATATTGTCAACATTAATAGCAGTAGGTATTAAGTTTAACGATTAGTTATTTAAGATGTAGGGTCATAACAACAACAACAACAACAAAACACATGTAAAAAGAAAATCTGATAGAATATAGTATAAATATTGATCTGATTTTATTCTGTCAGTTTGTGTGATATGCGTTAATGAGGATTAATTTATTATCTACTGTAGATTTTGAATGATATCAATTATACTATGCTCAGAAATTTCAATAAAATTATTTTTTTCAAAATAGTAACTAACACACGAGTTAACGTACAAATTCAGTTGTTTCGATGAACAAACGGAGAGATGGTAACATCTGGAGATATTATATCTTATATTCTAGCGTTAAATTCAAAAAACACTTTAAAAAAGAAAGACTCATATTTAAAAATGACCAAACATAGGATTCATATTTATGAAATTTAGATAAACCGTACAATCATATTGTCTAACTACATGAATTAAATGACAAATAATATCGTACTGTAAAATTTGATAAACTAAATGCTTTAAACAATTGAACTTTACTAATAAAAATGATGATTAAAGCTTGTTTATAATTGTTTGATCAAATAACCAAGATATATGTGCAAATGATTTGATATTTCTTAAGTCGATATAATACATTGCAAGATCATATGATCTGTTAGATTATTCAGTTATATAAACTTAAACAAAAATTCCACGTTAACTGATGGTATATCCAAAGTTATTCAACATACAACTAACTAATGATCAATACCAATCAATTCGGTTTATCATTAAGTCATTTTAATTGAGCCGTGGATTGGTTGAAGTTAGACATTAACACCATACGATGTCGGCTCAGTGGTCTAGTTGTCTAAGCGCCTGGCGCGAGACTGATACGTTCTGGGTCCAAATCTCGCGGGGTACGGGACCGTGAGTGCGCACTGCTAAGGAGTCCTACAATAGGACGAAACGGCCGTCCAGTACTTCCAGGTTTTCCATGGTAGTCTAGCTTCAATTGACTCATGATTTCAACCAGTGAAATTTTTAAAATCTCTACAAAACCCCTTCTAACAAATTATTCTCTTTATTTCTTCCTAATCCCTTACCAATTAGCCTTTTACAATTTCCAAAACTATTCGTTATTTATCTGATATATATCACTTAAGTATTTTCTAGACCAGGTCAAGATATGCATGAAAACTATCTTCTGTTTAGTTATCTAGATATCTAGTAATGTTAATCTCGATGGTAGTAATATTATAAACAAACAATGTTCATTATTATTTAATAATATAATCATAATCATTTGCAAATAAGTAAGATATTTCAGTTAACTAAACTTTTATTTATTTTTTTGCAAACATGAATTGTAACTGAGTGATTAGAAAGTATGGAAAATAATTCAAAAGTTGTGTTCATAAAGCAAGTTAATGTTTTATTATAACAGACTGTTTGAACATATTATCTATAATGAAAGATTCAAACATTTCAATAGATATAATTAGTTGATATGGTTATATTTTTCGGTATATTATTCTCTTTTAAATTTGAGAATGTTAACCATTCAGCGTTGAAAGAATAACAGCAATCAGAATGAACTCCTAGAGCTAGGATTTCGGTAAAATTTAAAATTATTGTCAACTTATACCTACATTAATAATGGGACTGAATTGTTCTTTGCATTTCAAACGGAAGTCATTTCTTGTCACAGGGAGAGATCATATCATTCAGTTACTCTTCTGTTGACTGAATTATTGTATGAAGAAGATGCTGACAGTAAATCTAGTTTATTTGGTCTTTATCTCTTAAATTTGAAATGAGGCTACTAGAATATATGACATGAAATCATTGTTTATTTCTAGCCAACTCCCACTAACCACCAAAGGTCATTCAATAAGTTTATTATTCATTAGAGTTGACCAATACTAAGGATTATGCAAGGCAATGTTATTTTCTACCTAGTGATCAACTAGTATAAGTAAATAACTGCTTAGAACTTAAGACGATGGAATACCGATATAGGTTAGACTTTATTTGACAAATATAGAGGGACTAAATTACGTGCTCTCCAAGTATCGCGTTAGCAACTATATATAATCCTCTAAGAATAAAAATAGCTCTTTAAAATACCACACATCTGATTACAGTGAAAATTTTTCAGGACAAATATATAGTATTGAAACAAGTTGATATTCATTTCTTTTGTTAATACTGAAAATGTCATTTTTCAACAATGGCAATCTGTCGAAGTTTTCTGACCAGTTTTGATCTAGTGATATCCTTTTTCAGCAAACAAAATTTTCTCTCATTGTGTAACATATTTGATAATTTAGTTTTAAAACATTCAGCTCAGGTTTTGCCAAAAAAACGAATGGAAAGTAATATATAGCAACCAACTTCATGATTCCATCTTGGTTTATTTTCTCAATAGGTTGCAAAATTCTTATAGAGCCACTTGGATACGATAAAGGATCACTACATATGTGGCTGTCCTCTTAAAATAATTCATAAAATAATGACTTTCATACAGTTGGAAAATAAGTTTGAGAATGTCGCTAATACACATATCTCAATGATTGATAAGCTGATTATTAACTTCAATATAAGGAATCAGGTTTACAGTTCAAGTGTAGATTTTTATTGTCTTTAAAATTGTGAAGTTTATTTAACTGCCTCATTCAATTCAGTTATACTTCTATGAAAAATTTTAAAATCTTATAAGAAATCGACACCTTTATAAATATTTAGCTGAGATCCCTGTGATATTAAAGTTAAATGAAAATCACACAAAAATCGACATTGGTTTGACATGTGTTTGGGAGCAATTGAATGAATGTTTCATTTTCCTTAGTTATGGTTGACAAATTGCTACATTCAACCAAGTAGTGTTTCCATTTAGTAATATTGTACAGATGTAAGATTCTAAATCAATGTGTATGTTTGTTTGCTTGTTTAAATGAGTTTATGTGAGCATGCAATGTATGAATTTTACAGTAGACCTGTAGCGTGGCGTGGAGTTGAGATTAACTATGAACACCGCTACCAAGAAACACGTGCCAAATAGATCAGAAGGCGTAAGAAGCTCGTTCCAAATGACTACATAAAATCCCCGAGAAGCCGAATACCAGAAGGCAATTAATGGACCAAGTCGAGGTTTATTTGCTGATACCGAGATCGTGCCAGGATACAAGCTTGGTTACAGAAGGTAACCGAATTCGCGCGAAGTTACAATCAAAGTGTAAGAATAAGAATGGAAGCACAAAATAGCTGTCATTAGCACAGTCAAACAAAAGCACGTTAAAACAAACACTGGTACAGTTGGTTATAATAATAATTGTTTTTATTAAACCAGTCGTGTTCTCGTGATAAATGTGAGTCACTACAGACCATTAATACTAAATAATAGAGTAATTAATCAACGAGGTTGTATAGAAAAAAGACGATAAAACTTGGAAAACATCCAAAGGTTTGGTAAATATAGGACATAGGTTTTCAATTTACTTGACTAAACATCGTGTTAAACCAGATCAATGGACTGGATTTAGGTAAAATTACAATGAATCATGTTACACTGTAATGGAATAAGAAAGAATGAGATTTTATTTAGATGATTTGACGAAATATTTTGTATGGTTTATAAATATTTTAATCATAAACTACTCTTACAATCTTAAATTTTTTATCAGTGATTATTAGTAAGCTAAAATATGGCATTTTCAAATCCGAGTTTGGAGAGGTGATTAACCAAATCACCACTGAAATGAAATGAAAACCTACATTACAGGAGTTGACTCAACGTACTGTTTTCTGAATATGCAAAAAGGGTATGAATTTTCATATACTCAAGGTTCTAATAAGTCTAATAATCTGATTCAGTTAGCTTCTATGCAACATTACAAAGAATGAGCTTTGATTAATTCTATTATTTATTTAAACCCTGCATAGTGGTGGAGGAAGGTGTTGTTCATTGTCTTCTCTCATTAAATTTATTGTTTCGCCAATTAATAAGATTCAGATCATTCCGTTGTTGATAACTTTGACCAGTAATTGTTATCATATGTGCAACCTATTTGAGTTGTTTCAGTATAACCATATTTTACAAGTTTAAACAGGGTTGATGAAGTATGACCAGAAGAGGAATCTCGCCCACTAGGGGTACCTGAATACTAGTGTTTATATTCACACTGAGGGTCGAAACTAGTGCCTTTAGCTTCAAACACTTAACGTGTTATCTACTGAGATACTGAGTTCATGTGGCCATTCAACTATATGGCTGGTGTGGCATCTATATCATTATTACAAGAAGGTTGATATTTTGACAAGTCACATATCGTTGAAAGATTGGATTAAAAATTTTAAAATTGAGTAGACTGAGGATAATAGTGACATTTCGCTAATCTTTTTACAAACGAGTATAAAATATGTTACCGTTATATTCATTTATACCTGATTTGCTCATTGGATGTTCTAAAACGTCACCAAAATAAATATCGTTTTCATTAGTATAATCAGTAGGATGTAAGTGAACTCTAGAAAACGTTCATTATGAGAGTCATGATACAAATGGTCACGTAAAACTGAATGCATTGATGCAATACGCTTGCTTTGATATACAGTTTGATTTTTAAAAGAAAAAAATCTTACTCTGCTTTTCGTGTGTGTATGTGAAGCTTGTTCGTGTAAAGATTCAATTAGCAATTCATTTCCTATAATTATCTCATACAGAAAATTCTATATGTAAAAAGAAGGATGCATGCTGATAACCGTAATTTATTTAAGCATATAAATGAAGGAACTAGAAACATTTTTGTTTGCTTATCTACCTTGTTTAGATTTTACCTTCAATAAAAATGATCTTATTTCATTGGAAAAACTATTGTAATCAGTGTGAAAGTAATGAAAAGAAATTAGTTATCTAATATTTAGTCACACAGGAATATTCTGTTCTGATGTTTGGTGTGCACAATAAACTCAAAAGCATTTATGATCTAACTCAAAAATATACATTAAATACTTCGTGAATAATAATATAACAGCATTTTGACTGTTCTCTTAAAACGATTCTAAATAAGATGAACGATTAGTTTTTGGCAGAAGAGCATACAGTATCTGCAGAAAATCTAATTAGTTAGTCATAGCTACTGGATAAGTACTGTAAACATTAACACTGAACACGTAGCAGTATGTTAAAAGGTGCTGTAGTATCGGTTACTATGTTAAGCCAATTTAGCATATTCTGGCTTCCTAACAGGCCAATTTATTCATCCTTCTTAAGTCACATTATTTGCTTATTAACCTTGACTGTTTTTATGTGAGCATATGTATGTGCACTTCTTATCCTATTCATCACATATCTGTAACTAATTTTTGTTCGGCTGTAAACATCGATTAACGCTTGATTAAAGTGGGGGTGGCTCACACACCTTCTCCAACGCGCATCATTTCGTTTCGCTCTCTTATTTTCGCTTCGTCACTTTGATTGTCTGTCCAGATCACTGAGTGTACAAAATATATGTATTCAAAAATCCGTTCTCGTATTTGACTTATTTAATCCCGTTATTCACTAACGTGATTCAAGTCGATGATTATATACGAAGATAGCCAATATTTGAATCTTGTCAGTAATCATTCATTTGATCTAAATGGGGTCAGATTCAGAACCACAAGGTTAAACGTTCTCGAGCGAGACTGATAAGCCCTTGGTTCGAATCTCATGGGGCACGATCGTGGATGTACACTCCTGAGGAGTCCAATACTAAAATCACTTTACATTTCAACTTATTACAAGAGTTATTGTCTAATCAACCTAATGCCGATCTTATCTTCAAAAGGATATACTCGACTTAACTGAAGATATTTGATTAGAAAAAAAGACAAATTGATTAACATCTTTCACAATTGAAACAGTCATATTTACATTTATTATTATATACTCACTTTTCTTAGATATATCATTTTAGATGAAATCCATGGCATGTCAGTATATTATAAAAAAATAGTATTATCTTACAGCATAATAAGATCAATAAAAGGTTTACAGAATTATTCCATTTGTACTAAGATTACATTTCAATAATTGATCTTTCATCAATATGGCTCAATAGTTATTGTTGTTGAGCAATGGTTAGTTCTTAGAAGAACTTTATTTTTCAGTTTATTACTTAAGAAAAGAATCTTTATATAAATTTAATCCAAAAAAATAATAATTTTGGATTTTCTTTCATTATTGTTATTGATTTTAAGAACAAATAGAATCACTTAAATTTGGTACAAGTATACTATACGATAAATAGCTGTTCTCATGATCTTGATGTAATAAATGACAGTTTGTTAGCTGATAATCTGTAACACTGGGATATTTTGGTGTTGGTTGATGTGTTTCATAGATAGTTTCAAATTTATATTTACATAAATGATCATCAGACTGATGCTGATCATGTTGGTGATGACGATAATGATGATGATGATGATGATGATGATGATGTCGGTGGTGATGACTATGATTATGATGATGATGGGAAGTTATACGATGAGATAAACAACGACTTTTAAAGGAGGTTGATTTCCTAAGCTGAATTTTTTTACGATACCACCAGTGAAAACATAGCAATCGTTTAAATGCCCTACGAAATTCATGCATTGAATGTGCATATATAATTGGATTAATACATGAATTTATATAGCCTAACCAGGTCACTAAAATGTGGACTTGTTTAAACACATTATTTTGATTTAATGAATATGGATTGAATGCAATTAGAATGTTACAAACAAAAAATGGTAACCAACATATTATAAATAATCCCATTATAATTCCCAACGTTTTAGCTGCTTTTTGTTCACGTGCAAATTTACAAACACATTTTTTTCTAGCAAACTCTCTCAACTGATTTATCCAACATTTTGTTTTTGATAGTGAATTAATTTCGATTTGATTTGTATCATCAACTGAATTAGAAGTCATAGTAGTAGTATTCACATTTACCAAAGTAAAATTTGCAGTGGTGTAATTCATCAGTGAAATATTGTTGATATTTTGTTGATTCATACTAAGTCTAGCAACTGGATGTTTACACTTGTCACTTGATACACCAGAATGATTTTTTGAATACTTTTTATCTATATTATTATTAGATTGATAATCAGTGAACTGATTTTGTTCATATTGACATGTACTATTCCATTGTTTAAATTGTAACGCTTGTGGATTCTTCTTGTATATCGATGATTGAAATGGTAATATTTGTGATTTCAGGTATTGAGATTTTTTTAATCTTTGACTATCTTGTGAATGAGATAAACAACTAAGGATGCTGAATGAATATGAACGTTTAAAATTAGTTTGATCTTGTAATGGATTATTTGTTAACTTATTATGATTACTAAAACTGTCAGTGAGAATTTGAGAATGAATTGGAATTTGCATTAAAGAATTTGTATGATTCCAATGATTTTTATCAGATTTTAACTGACAATTATCAAATTTACTTACTGAAGAAATTATAGAATTACTCAAAACACAACTTTTAGAAGTGATGTTACTTCTTGTATTGATATTTGACATTGTGTTAATATTATGCTTATTTAAACAAAGTGAACTTTTGAAATTTGTTAAATCATTCATTTTTTTCCGTTTTATTATACCCTTATCAAAATAATTGAAAGGTGAACGATGAGGTTTAGGATGTGTCTTCAATTTGGTTGTTTTAAATGTATTATTACTTCTATTACTGTATTTGTTAGTAGCATTTCCTCCACGATGAACACGTAGTATCATTCTATCTCCAATTTGTGGTGTAATGAAATTCTGTGTTTTTATTTTACTGTGATAGTGTTTCAGCCAGTGTTTTTGTTTTTTTTCATTTGACACATTAGTTGCTTGAAAATTCAGAGTTGATGATGATTGTTGCTTTGGATTTGAGTAAACAATTTTTTCACCAGTTTTAAAACTTTTCATTAAATTATTAGCAGTTCGATAAATGCGTGCATAAACAACTAACATAACCACTAATGGGATATAAAATGACACACATGATGAGACAAATAAGTAAATACTGTCCGATGTAAATTGGCATACTTTCAAAGAGCTAATATCATAATCCTGTGTATTTCTCCACCAAAAAATTGCTGGAAATGATATAAGTACTGAACAAATCCATACAAACGTAAGCATTAATAAACAATGACGTCGTGTTCTCATTGATGTATGCGTGATAGGATTCTCAGTTGCCCAGTATCTTTCCAATGCTATAGCACAGAGATTCAATATTGATGCTGTAGAACTTAATACATCAAATGCATGCCATATATCACACCAATGACGTCCAAATGGCCAATATGCATTATATAATGTATGATAAATAGCAAATGGCATAACAATAATTCCAACTAATAAATCTGCTATAGCTAATGAAACCAAAAACCAATTAGTTAAATTTTTACGCATATATCTTTCACGAAGAAAAGCTATAAAAACCAGAACATTTCCAGTTATCGTTAACAAGGCAGCAATAGTTAATAGAACTCCAAGTAATATAGTTTTCCATAAGTTGTAATCATCTGTCATTGTGTCATTTGAAACTATTATCTCGTTTATGATGCCATTAATGATACTTTTATTGATGATAATAATACGATTACTATTTGTATTAGTATGTAATGAGTAAATACCATTGATTAATGCATTTTTGAAGACAAACTCATTACATAATTAATTGAATTATGTAATTGTCATGATTATTAAACGAGATTTAGTGATGAAAACTAAATAGCCCATTAATAAGTATAAAGTAGCTGGCTCAATCTGAGTTATACTGTCATGTACTTTACTTATTCAATAAACTTTCATTTTATTTATATTAAATTTATTATTCATTATAATGAACCAATAAAACCTAATAGTGGGTGTTATTGCATAACTATAGTTTACTCTAAAAATGAAGTAGGCGTATTTATATTTATTTTCTTTTTTATAATTCCCTATTAACCAATGATGAAAATTTATTTAATTCTCATTCTGTTTACATTTATTCAATTAAGGAAAACGCATTCATCAAGTAATTCATTCGAAATGAAACTGAGAAAATAACAATGGATACAACAGGATAAATGAATATTGACGAGATCTAGAATAAGTTTTTTTTGTGGATTGATAAAAATAAAACACAACTATTCAATTATAAGAAAAAATAAAAGAATATGAAGAAACAATGAATTAGCTAATGTATATGGTTTTATAATTAGCATCATTTAATGAAATATATTGACAACTAAGAAGTTTTGATTTCGTTAATATGTAATATGAAAGTTTTATCTACGATTTAGTAGATGGAAAAACAAAACAAAAAATTGAAAACTAAAGAGTTTTATTTAAGTGTTTCATTTTAATTCTGAACAAGTAATCGGTTTGGATATAGTAACTTACATTCATCCATTTCCATGACATATGTTTGTAAAATGAGTAAAACATTACTATAATTGTTAAATGGTGTTGATGTTTAGTAGTTAGAATATAGTTCAATAGTTAACTTAAAAGTTGTATAAAATAAGAACTTGACAGTATTTTTTAAAAATAATAGATGACAAAAGCTTGTGATTTAAGCGAAGTCAGACAAGGTTACTTACACTGACATTTTCTCTTTTACCTATCTGTTGACTGGATCATGAAGACGTTCATATTTTATGGGAAGAATGTGTTGAACGTCACGAGTGCTGAGTGAACGTCGGATTTTGATAGCCCGGCAGATCAACGAATCTACAAAGGTCAACGCGTCGCAGACAATACATTTTGAAGAGGAGCGCAGCATAGACTGTAGAAAAGAAGAAAGTGATATGGCTAGCAGAACTACCTCAAGAACGACTGCGTTAAAGAGGGTACGAGTGTGGTGTTTGTTACTGATGTCGACAGATATAAGTAGTATATATCATCATTCGAAAGTGAAATACCTGGGAGCAGAAGGTTAAGAAGATCAAAGAACAAATCATGATTGGCTTTGAAACAAAAAACCAATGAAACCTAAGACGAGTGATTGACATTTTGCAAATTAAGTATTTACTGTTTGGTTGTCTGATTTTACTAAGATGTTCTGTATTTGTATTCAAATACATTCGATTATCCCCACTTGTGTCCCCGTTCACTACACATGGAGTACAGTGAGTAACTTAGGTAAAACCGGACGATTCAGACTTCACAGATGATTAATTCTATTACCTTATGAACAACAGTCATTCAGGAAAAGACATATACTGTAATATCCTGAAATGCGACCCAGAGCAAAACAGTCAAAACACACTTAATGGAGAATCTGCAAAAGAAATGGAACCTTTTACATACCTCGACAAGTATCACTGTCAAACAAGAGATGTGATGCATATGTGAAGTCATGCATTAGCAAAGTGGGGTCAACATTCCTACAATTGAAGAAAATTTCGAACACAATACAAAAGTTAGAATTTTCAGCATTAAGGTTAAGACAGTTCCTTTGTAAGGAGCTGAAACTTGAAAGACTACTGAAATCATGATCGAAAAGGTACAAATATTTATAAAAATTTACTTCCACAAGATATTCCAAATTCGTTGACCGGATATCATCAGCAACAGTCTGTTGCGGCATAGAACAGACTAGGTTTAAGCTAATGTGGAAATTGGGAAAAGACGCTCGTGTTGGATAGGCCCGTTTCTACGACAATGGTCAAATTACATCACTGGGCAAACACTAACTTGAAATCTTCAAGGCATTTGGCAATAACTGAAAGCGATAGCTCGTGAAAAAGCTGCATAAATATCCCTGGTAGGCGGTCTATGCTCCAATAGATGAATTAGATGTTAGTAAATAAGTGAGACTCGTAATCAGAGTTTATTTTTAATAGCTAAATCTTTATCAAAATGTTTGGGAATATTTCAAATGTTTTGTTTGCTATACACCAAGTTGCATAGTTTACAATGATTAGCTAAGATTTGAAAATACCAGCTCCTTATTTCATTCCCAACCATGAATAATTCAAAAACATTTTGAATTATTAAAGAGGAAGAATATATATTTCATTTGCTGAGATTTTACAAATACGTATTCTTCCTCTTTAATGACTCACATTAACTCGGCGCCCAAATATTGTGAAACTATTCGTTCAAATTTAGACGACAGTTTGTATCAGTTTAGTTTGACATAGATTTGTTACTAATGATTTCGATGAAATATCACCTATTTTAAATATCATATGTTACTCAATCATTTTATATCTGTTACCCTTAAAAACATTGTGTTTACTTATATAAAGTACATTTATATACATAGAAAAAATTGAATGCTATTCTGCTAGCAACTATTCGTTTTGAAAATTTGTCTGATTAATTCACAATAAATAAATACATTAAACATTTATTCATTAAGTTAACATTTTTAACGACAGTATCCAGTGTACATTTTCAATATGGTTGAACTGAAATTATACATTTTCATTATTGTAAGAAAATAGAAATCATCTAGAACTGTACGTACTAATACATAGCAGATGAATAAGTAGTAACTATAACTAACCCTTTGATGTAATTTAAATTAAGGATATACAAAAAATGTTGGCATTTATCATTGGTAATTTACCTAAATGTGTTGCAGTTACATAACCTATAATAATTTATCTATGATGTTAATCATTTTGTTTAATGTCGTAAGTTTGATAGTAGTTGAAATATACATGATCCAGACGTTTCAGAAGCCTATTATACTGTTCAGAAGGATATGTTTGAAGTGTAACACATTTTTAAAAAATGATGAGATAATGACAATAGATATACTCTAATAGATTACCCATTCAATTTCCAATTGAATCTTTAATAATCACACATAGAATTTCGTTTTGACGATTATTCTTTAGAATGAAATTATGTTCATCAATGTATTAAATTTATAAGACTTTCAATACAACTGCATGCTAACTTATAGGATAAAACTATGTAGTTTCAGTTAGAAGATGATACTCGTATGTAAACCATTATATCAACTAAACAACAAGAATCATTACTAATTTATATATGTTGACATTTCATGACAAGGTAATATATATATAAGCCAAATGTAAAGAACTTAAATTATAAATGAATGTGCCATATATCATGCCATTTTTCAATTTCTTTTTAGTTTAAACTGTCATTCTAAATTATAAAATGTTAAACCATGATATTTACTGTTTCCAAGAAATTTTTAATGATGGAAAAGTTTAAAATAAGTTAAATTCACCTGGTGTTGTTTGCTTGTATCCAGTTAGCAACAATAGAAAGATACAAACAAACAACAACAAGTGTATTGAAACTTGCATAAGCAGGTAGCTATTAGGACTCATTAGCTTAGTGGATAACGCAATGGCGTTTGAAGCAAACGGAACTGGATTCGAGTCTCAGGGTAAATATCACTTCTGGGATGCAGGTACATACAGCTGACAATTCCCAAATAGGACGATACGCGCATCCTGGATTCCACTACTAGCCACCATCCATCTTTGTTAAAAAATAAGTCTGTTTGAAAAACTGAAATTTTATTACATAATTTAAGTTACATTATCCAAATCTACTGATAGACATAGATCTCAATAACTGAATAACCTTCAGTGAAATTCTAGTAAAACGTTATTCAATGCAACTAATTAGTTTTCTGGTGATAGTTAGGAATCATTATTTTAAACAAATTGTAAAAGTTTTAGATTTTTTATTCTTTGTTCAAATCCAGCACTTTCATTGTTTATTTAATTATGTTTTTTTAAAAAGTGTCTATAAGTTTAAGTAATTTTTCATAGACAGTATCATAACTATAAATCATCGATGATTCTTAAGGCATATGTTTGTCAGTTCATTAATATACTCAAAATGTTGTTTCTTCGAGAACTGAAATAAGTTGAACTAATTCAGTTAGTTTCATAACTATTTCAAATTATTCAGTATTTCAGATGAATTTGTACTAGAAAAACAATATCATAATTATCTAATTCTTTTGAATTATTTCGTCATTTCATTAAATCTAAACATAATCACCAATACATATCCGATATTGGAATATTTAAAGATCTTCCTGAATATCAGAAACTTCCTTACTGAATATTAGTTGTATTCTAAACGATATATGTTGCATACTCTCACGATATCAACGAATTATTCAGGAAATATAGAAGATACTTTAAAAGTGTAATAAAAATAAAATGGAATACATTTGTAATATGTATGTTTAATTTACAATAATGAGGATTCTTAAACTGAGGAACTAATTAGATGTGAAGTCACCTAGTAATTTGTAAATGAAACTTCGAATTTCATAACTCAATAAAAGTTCAGAAGATAGACTTGTCAATATTGGAATGTAGAACTCAAAAATAATGTTACTGACACTAGACAAATCATCATCATTTGTTTGATCTCGTATTGAACCGCTATTGCATACTCTTGTGAATTCCCGTGGTAAAGTTGTTTAGAGAACCCTGGTCGGCAACCGGTGATCCACAAGAGATAGAAGACTTACATAAGTAAGTAAGTCATTACTGCCTTCTAATTATACAATATTCTTACAGAATTACCAAAATTCCACTATGTACATTTAGGTTAGTTGTATCCATTTACAATGAATTCATTTTATAATACTCATCTGTAAATCAGATCCGTTTTTATCTAGTTATAGTTGTCAGACTAAAGAGATTTATTTAAGTTATTCTGTCATTCATACTGTTACTAAATTTGAAAAGTACAATATTTAAAAGCAAAAGTATATTTTTTTGTTTGTTAGAAATAAGTCAAGTTTTTTTTCTACTAGAGATTTATTCATGAAAGAATGACATTTAC